AGGCTATTTGTTGTTTTTTTCTACACCCTTTTGATATTTGCAAAGAGCCCCAATTGAGAATAGTTATATAAATAAACCATTATGACCTAAGCAGAATGCTAACTCTTATTTAGACATAATAGGAAGGATATATGGTTATATATATATATATATGTGCTAATATATGGTTCAAATTTGAGTTTCCTTTAATAAAATCTTAAGTAGTCCTAGATTTAAGGAACTAAAAGATAAGTATTGAGAATCTTTCTAACTGAAAGCATTTTCTATTTAACTCCATCATTTACTCATTCTTAGAGTCATTCCTGCATTACTTCAGTTTTTTTCAACCAATTTGCTATATATGTACTATGTTCGAGACACTGGGGTTGCAAAAATGAACAGGAAAAGCTCCCAGCCTGCAATGAACTCACCATCTAGTGAATATTCACTATAAGCCACAAGAAACCCCTTTCTGCTATAGCCAAGAGCTGAGCCAAATCCATTGTTAAATCTCAGCAAAATATCATGGCCATCATTGCCTCGCCATATGTATTTCGGTGCCTCACACGCTTTTATCAAGGTAGGAGGCAATATTCTTTTTTAGCTTCAGCAGATTCGCCATCTTTCCCCCCGTTTTAGCTTGCTGCAGTTTCAAATGGTGCAGGTAGGAAGCCCTGAAAATGTATACTTGTACATTTTTAAATGTCCCCTGCTACACTATAACCACCCCCTGTTTTCCAAATGCTGCCATTAGTGGTTACAATAATCATCTGTAATGTTAGCTTCTAAGAACCATGGTACAAGAGCTTCTTTTATGATTTCCCAGATGGGAAGGAACACATGTACAAGCCTGTTACAGTTGCAGAAACTGGAGACAGCGCTGTGTAGATTTGTATTTTTGGAACTCTTTGGGCTTATTTAAGTACTCAAAGTCAAACTTAGGTATCCATTAGGAATCAAATACCAATTCAGGGAAAACTCATGTGCCACATCAAGGGGAATAAATCATATTAAAGTAGTTCGTAAAAGGAACTCCAGGAAACAACTATTTTCATCTTCAGACTAATGTTTCGTGTGCTTTTTGGAGGATGCCACATGATAAATGTTGATTATATAAACCAGGGTCATTCCATTTGTTTGGAGGACTGTCTCTGAGCATTTCTGTTCTTGGCTTAAAAAATAGTGAAATGAGAAGTTAAAAAGTAGGAAAGGGAAATAATTATAAATTATCTATAGGCATTTGGACTGAAGCTGCTAATTAGGAAAGGTTTTCAGTGGCCCCTAGTTTTTTGCAGTGTTTTTTTTTTTACAGGGTTTTGTGACTTTTAGTCAGAGCCTTGACCTTTAACAAGGAAACTCAGTCACTGGGGGAAGGTATCTGAAAGTCAATGTTAGTTCTTTTTTTTATTGTTTTTCTTAAGGTGACCAATTTAACTTTAAAGAGGACTACTTCTGTACTTAGATCATGAAATGAATTTGTCCCTCTGAATGTGAATTTTTTCAAGCTCAGCTTCAATCTTAGTTTTAGATATTTTATGAGTTTTAAAGTCATATTATATAATAACATGGTTTCTATTTGTTGAGACCATTAAGTATTTTTAAAAACTTCCCATCCTCATTTTACAGAAAGGAATACTCAAGGTTGAATGCTTTATCATATGTAAAAGAGCAAGAAGAGATAGAGATTCCCAGTCTTGGATCTTCTTTTTTTTTTTTTTTTTTTGAGGAAGATTATCTCTGAGCTAACATCTGTTGTCAGTCCTCCTCTTTTTGCTGAGGAAGATTGGCCCTGGGCTAACATCCGTGCCCGTCTTCCTTTACTTTATATGTGGGACGCCTGCCACAGCATGGCTTGATAAGCAGTGCATAGGTCCACGTCCGGGATCCGAACCTGCGAATCCCGGGCCACTGAAGCAGAGCACGCAAACTCAACCACTACACCACAGGGCTGGCCCTGTGGCTCTTCTTTTAAAACCACTAGTTCTAGGGACCTCGGTGTATTATGGGAGGCAGGAGCAAGGAGTCGGTACTTAGTTTCCAGGTGTCACTGGTGACAGCAACTTTTGTAAAGCGGATTTCTGAAAATCACTAGGTGTGGAGGATAAAAGTTAGGAATTAACATTCATTTGTTTACTGATTTATTTATTCAGCAAACATTGAGTGGTTTCTATGTTCCAGGCACTGTACTAAGGTCCTCCTCTTACATACTTCCTATATCATACCACCTAAAAATATACATATTCCACAGGTATTACAAATGTGCATGTAAAAACAAAATTATAACAATATTAGATGAAAAACTAGGGAAATAGTTAAATAACTTTGGAGTTATTGACCAGATTTAACTCTATAGAAGTATAAATTTTCTGTGATGTCAGAAGAGCCCCCCAAACTAAGTAAAAAATCAAAAGTTAGATGGAGAGAAAATATTTATAACACATGTGATGGACAAGTGTTAATAAACCTAATAAACAACAATAACAAAAAAAGTCCAAAAACCTTTAAGCAAAACGGGCAAAGGATTTGATCAGAAAATGTATAGAAGAAAATGACCAGTAAAAAATAGAAAGTTGCTCAGCTTCATTCATTGAGACTAAATTGAGATACCATTTTCCAGCTATCAGATTGCCACCGTTATATTAAAGAGTGACAACGGCCAGTGTTATCCAGTTATTCAAGATGAGCGGAAGCCGTCTTTCATACTGATGCAAACTCATGGGTCCAAATGGGAATTGCTGCAAAATTTTTGAAAATTAATCTATTAAACTCTATTAAAATGTAAAATGTTCATGACCTTTGACCCAAGAAGCTCAGTTTTAGTTATCTATTAAGAAATATAAGTCCCACTAGTAAAGGATATATATACAAAGATATTTATTGTAGCACGATCAAATGGCTAAGAACTGCAAACAACCTGAATGTCCGTTGCTAGGCGAATGGTTTAATAAAAAATGAGTCCATGCCACAGAATATTATGTGGCTATTTAGAAAGCAGTTGGTAAAGTGATATGTATAATATGATTCCCTTAGGGAAAACAAAGCAGAAGGTTGAAGAACTATTTATATGCAAATGTGTGTATGTGTGTGTATGTTTTTATGAGCAAAGAAAAAGCTGTTTGAGGCTACACACACAGTTAACATTGGTTACCTTGCGAAGTGAGGGTGGAAGAGCTTTTTCTTTATGTGTATGGTTGTTACAACAAGCCTAAATTTTGTAATGTAAAACCAAAAAACAATTAAGGGGGATGTGGCCAAAGAGACAGGAGAAGACCAGGAGAGTGTAGTTTCTTAGAAGCAAGAAAAGAGAGTATTTCCAGAGGAAGATCATCCATGTCAAATACTGTTTAGAGATCAAGTAAGATAATGACAGAGAAGCATTTGCTGTGTTTAGTGGATGCCTTTGGTGGAAGCAGTCTTGATGAACTAGTAGGGTCAGAAGGCGATTATAGTAGGCTAAGGGATAAGTGGGAGGGAAGGGAGTTGAGACAAGGAGTGTAGACAGCTTTTTAAAGCAGTCTATGAAGGGGCAGAGAGATGTGAGAGACAATACAGGGGACTATGTAGAGACTTGCATGATTTCTTTTTTCTTTTTAAAATTTTTATTTTATAAGATGGGAGAGACTCCTGGTCCTTGTCCCTTTGTATACATGCCACACTGTGCATCCTATAGGCACAATAGAAGGCAGAGCAAGGAGACTGACGATGTTAGTGCTGAGCAGGATGAGTATGATGACCAGCTTCCCAGGATGCAGGAAAAGAAAGGGTGAGGTTGGTTTTAGACAGAAGGAAGGACGTCGTATCTGGGTTCTCAATGCTCACGGGCAGTGATTCTTAAAGTCTAGATTGGGACGCTCCTAGGATGGCCACTGAGCCCTCCTGAGGACCTATGAAATAATCTAGAAATATAGGTTGGTTCTTACCAGTCCCTATGGGTGAAAGATGTGCAATTCTATTAAGATTTTTAAAAATTTCTGTTGGACTTGGAGCCACTACCAACCGAAAATAATTATTAAGGGTTACTAAAATTTGGTATTCACAAATTAAAATCAGCATGCTACTAGAATTTATCCTAATTCATTATTTTATTCAGAAGTCTGGCAGACACTTGGTGCTCGGCAATAATCGTAAAGCACATAGTTGTAAGTCCCACAATTTTGATTCAGGACACTTCATCAATGTATCATCAGTGTTGGCTTGAGTTGGTTATGACATTCGGTTGCTGCTACTCTTGCTTTTTAATTATAAATCACAGTAAGTTTAGCTTTATCATTATCAGTTTAGTTTATTGTGCGTTGTTTGGTTAACTTCTCACTGTCTCTTAATACATATTTGGATGAACTATGTTTTTGTCTTATAATATTCTTATAACTAGACATTTAAGATACGTATGTCTTGTGGTTCATATATAAATCATCCATAATCATTTTGCTAAAGTAGATGTGTACATAACCCTGTCCATAACTCTGCCATTTGTTTGTGTGGTGGCACTCTTCATAGTGATATGTTTCTTGGGAATTTTTGCTATTTAAATAACTTACAATATATTATCATGGTAGGTATAATAAAATCACTGGGTATTTTAAGACTTTTTTTGTGTGACATAAATCATGTTTATAAATTATATTTTTCCTGTAAAAAGTAAATTATAAGCTATCTATATATTATATAAATTATAAGCCGTTATATATACTGCCAGCAACAAGTTTGCTGAGATTTGTTAACTGTGTTTTTGTCTAATTCTTTGTTATAACCAGATTCATTTTTCTCCTCTTGGAATGTGAGAACAAGTGAGATAGATAGGGATCTTTTCCCTTACTGTGGTGGGCGTTGGTCAGAGAGTTTGAAAGCCATCACTCTAGAGGAGTGACTAGATATGTGGCAAAGGATGTGCAGAGCCGCTAAATTCAAATCCAAGTAACTCATACCTCCAGCCTCAATGCCAGTGCACTGTAAGCTCATCACCTAAAAGATATTACAAGAGCAGGTACTGATGACATTGTGTTTTTCACTTCCTGTTTAAGGATGTAAGTGAAGACCCTGGAGAAGATGTGGCCCTCCTTTCTGTCAGTTTTGAGGACACTGAAGCCACTCAGGTGTACCCTAAGCTCTACTTGTCACCCCGAATTGAACAGTAAGTGTCAGTGTCATTAATTTTATGTAGCCCAGTGCTTCTCCTTGTTAACCAAACGTGTCTCTCTATTTATTTTACTACTCTTGAACTCTTAAAATTATTTCTCTTTATTGACTTTGTTTTCTTAAAATGAATTGTGTTGGGAGTTTAGATTGTAGAGTATATGCCATTAATATTTGCCACCGCAATCTTTAGATGAGTCTTCGTTGTGTACTTTGTGATATGAATACTGTACCTTTGTAGGGAGAGATGAGTTGACAGACTGAGTCTGAAATTGTGACTCCTTCCAAATGTTTCCTGGGTATGTGTGGTTTCAGCCTAAAAAGGACTGCTGAACAACATCCTACCCAATTTCTTATGTATTTGTAACTGTTATAGTTGTTTGTAAAAATGTAACTAGTCTCCTAAAAATATTAAGCAAAAACTTTTTCAGAAGTTAGTAAAGGTAATGTTAAAAGCAGATAGGTTAGGGGCCGGCCTGGTGGCACAAACAGTTAAGTGCGTGCTTTCAGCTGCGGCGGCCCGGGATTCGCCAGTTCGGATCCTGGTGCACACCAACACACCGCTTGGCAAGCCATGCTGTGGTGGCGTCCCATATAAAGTGGAGGAAGATGGGCATGGATGTTAGCCCACAGCCAGTCTTCCTCAGCAAAAAAAAAAAAAAGAGGAGGATTGGCAGATGTTAGCTCAGGGCCGATCTTCCTCACAAAAAAACAAACAAAAAAAGCAGATAGCTTAAAAAGATGACATGTTTTAATTATTTTTTCTGTGTCTATGTAGCTCTATATAATTTGGCACAGCATTCAGGCTACATGGTACAAGTAGTTTGATATCACACTTGTGTTTTAACCAAATAACTTTACTCATTGGTAATGTATTTTACAAGGACTAATTTTGCAGTGTCTTTATTGTTGGCTAAAATGCTTTAGTAGCTTATCCTACTTCAAAAGAAGCTGAGGTTCGTTGAAAATGGATTATAAGCAGATTTGATTGGGAACTTCTGACAGGACAGATTTTTCATCAGCAGAGCGAGTTTTTACAGACTCTGATTGAAGTGTATTATTAAAATTCTCTGCAAGGCATTTAGTCAGGGTTGGCTGATTTGTGTCTGTGAGATGTGGTCACCATCCAACATTCATATGCTAAGCCATTTTCACCCCCTCTGACCTTAGTTGTTCTAGTGTGTGAATCATGGACATACCATCTTGACACACTTATATAAGACATAGCTGTTTATACTCATACATGGAAGATGATAGGCATTAATAATCCACGTAAGTTCTCTCATTTGTTTATATACCTCTGACAGCACCTAGAACAGGATTTTACAGTAGCACGTGCTCAGTGAATATTTTAATTTTCGTTTGAAACTACTAACCAATATCAGTAAGAGGCCAAAGGGTGTGGGAGGCAGTACAGTGAAGTGGTAACAGGCAAGGGCTCTGGGGTCAAGCACATGTGGTTTAAACATGGGTTCTGCAGCTTACCATCTGGCAAAATACTTAACTTCTTTGAACTTGTTTCCTCATCTGTAAAATAGGGGTAATAATACCTGTCTCATAGTGTTGTTTTGAGGATTATATTAAATACTGTTCATAAAGCATTAATTGCAGTGCCTGGCACTATAGCAAGTAGTAACTATTAATGTTATTATTGATATAGTTCATAGGAGAAGAAAGAATGAGTGAGTGGTTAGCAGGACAAGTTGGGGCAGAAAAGGAGAGGATGAGTAAATAAGTGAGCAAATACTAGTTCTAGAGGAGCCACTGAGTACATATGTAATGAGTTAAATTAAGAAGGTATTTTGGTGATGAGAAAAAAGAATTAGTAATGAAATAATCACAAGATGTGGTAATAAGAATATATTAGTTAAGCTGCAGCCAAGAATTTGCCAGCTCAGAAAAAGAATTTTCCCAGCACTCATGTTATTTTTGTTTGAAGTTACTGCACCTAGTTTGCAAATAAACTTGCTAATAAAATATTTCTTGCTCTAAAAATCAAAATATTTCTTGCTCTAAAAATCTAAGATATGATGTAAAAAATTATTAGTGAAGGATATATTTTAAAAGTTATTTCCTATTTCTAAAATCTAGCTTTCTACATTTCTCCCCTCGTTTTATGTTAAGAACTGGCCATAACTTCCTTTTCCAGATCAGTTTCCTGTTATTTACCCTCCTGTAGCCTGTCCTTCAGCCAGACTCCATCACTTGAAGTTTTCTTAATTTACCTGTAGTCTCTTGCCTCTGTGCCTTTGCTAAAGCTGTTACCTCCATGTAAAATGCCCTCTAACATCCTCTTCCTATTGAAATATTATAAATTTTCTAAGGGCTTATTCAAATGCCATCTCTACCAACCATTTTCCCTTGCGCAATTAGTCTAGCCTTTCCCTAAACTCTTATGTTACTGAATTTGTATCACTCTTATAGTCTTCCCACCATAGATTTAGTTAGTGATGTGCTTTTTTTTTAATCTTTCACTAAATTGCAAGCTACTCAAGGGCAAGGAATAAGTCTTTTTGTTTTTTTAGTGCCCTGCACAAAGGCAGTGCACAGTAAACAGTAGCCTAATTGGCAGTATACTAGGTCAATAAGTAATTCTCACAAGAAAATTTGAAAATGCTTCACTGGGAGGTCTTACATTTTTCCTGGTTGATACAAATTCCTTTAGTAGAACTGTATTTGTAATACCAAAGAACACTACCAAAAGTTCTTATACCCTGAAGTAGAGGTTTTAAAAATGAGGTGTTAGAGAAAGGTTAAAATGGAAAGTGGTGAAATTGTAAGGCCTTAGAGAGTCATATCACATATTTGCTGAAGTTATTTTATTTATTTATTTTTTTTAAAGAATGCTTACTTTTATTTATTTATTTATTTTTTAAGATTTTATTTATTTATTTTATTTCCCCCCAAAGCCCCAGTACATAGTTGTATGTCATAGCTGCACATCCTTCTAGTTGCTGTATGTGGGACGTGGCCTGAGCATGGCCGGAGAAGTGGTGCGTCGGTGCGCGCCCAGGATCCGAACCCGGGCCGCCAGCAGCAGAGCGCGCGCACTTAACCGCTAAGCCACGGGGCCGGCCCTGAAGTTATTAATATCTTTGGTTAACTCTTGCAGGGTTCAGAGCATAGAAAAGAAGTAATGTCATTTCAGTAAGTCCAAGGTTATAGTTAGATTTTAAGAACTGGGTGAAGAGGTGTTGGTACTATCTTTGATATTGTGTTAAGCTGTCATTTGTTTTTTGTGTTTTATGCTTTCCTGTCAACTCTTAATTATCCAGGCATTGATTATAGACTCAGACTTGGAGAGTTCTTTCAGGAGTCATGGGAAAAGTATCCCATGTGGACCCGCCCAAAGCTGATGCCAGACACTTGCCCTAGCTGAGGCTTGTGCACTTTTTGGCTTCTGCTGTGGCTCTTTCTAGGAAGTCCCAAGCCCCATGCAGTGCATTTGACGGGCAGAGGCCCAGGCAAGACCAGTAGCCTGATCCACAACAGGTAAAAATTGGCAAGAAAAGGCTTGCATTCTCACCGTCTGCTCTCCATGGGCATATCAATGATATCTTGAGCCTGGGAGATACCCCATTTCAGTCTGGCTATTATCTCTCTGCCCACGTTAACTACTCTCAGAAATAGGAAAAGCCTACTTTGGGGTCTTGTCATCACATGTAGGAAAAGGGATCAATTTGGTGTACCCTAAAGATTTCTAGGGACGTGGATACCAAATATCCCCAAATTAGATAATCCCTACAAAAGGGAACATCTTTGGGTAGAAAACTCCCAAATGTCTTATAATTTATGAAGCTCTGAAATGCAGTCCCACTTCACAAGTCTGTCTGTTTGCCCGGGGTCTTGGGATAGTTGCCTGGTGTTTCTGGCAGCTGGGACACATGACTGCACACCTCTATGGTGGGTAGATGCCTGTTGTTTCCTCATCTCCCACGGCATGTATATGGCTTGCAAAGTAAACGCTTCTGAGAACTTCGTGTTCTTCTCGCACAGGGGACGTTTATGAAATACACATATTTCAAGCTCTATACATTTGTTTGCCAAGGAACTCAAAGCAGTCAGTTGAATTAGACACTAAGTACTGTTCATTTAAATAGAAAAAAAAGGTAGTGGTAAGGTAAGCAAAAAAAGCTAGTGGTCAGTTACGCAAAATAGAGTTTGGTTGAATATTAAGCACAGCGGGAGCTAGTTTCTAAACTTGTTGCTTTATTTTCCTGGCAGAAAAGCTGGAATTGTAAGGTTACATCATCGGAGCTGGCACTAAACATGCTCTACCTTTCCCTCCTTCTCAGACTGTTGGCAGTTCCAGCAGCGACACCAGAGGTTAAATGGGCAGCAGAGGCTGTGCAGTTCTCTTCCCCGAAAGGTGTGGGCCCTTTTCTTGTCTTGAGCCAGTTCGTGGGAGTGGTTTGAAGAAAACCAGCTTGTCACTCCCTGTGCTGTTCCCACTCGGTGCATAAAAAGAGGACTTCAGGCCCTGAGGCAGACCAGGTGGCATCTTGCACAAGTACAGAATTTGTTTTTAGAACTTTTGTTGTTAAGTTACAGTCCCCCTTAGAAATAAGTACTCAAAGCTTACCAGCCCACAAATGTTCACCATTAGTGAATCCTGTGTGCCTGCAAATATACATAGATTCATTCTTTCAGGCAACAAAAATGCAATGAAAATTGACCAAGTGAAAGGCCCTTTGCTAGGTTCTTCAGAGGATGTCAAGATAAATGAGATGTGGCTTTTGCCTTTAATTTGCTTATAATATAGTAGGGGAGATAAGAACAAATAATAGCAAGTTCCAACTTGTGTTTTAGTAGAAAAGGCATGATAAGACTTGGCATCAGAAGCCCTCTGTTCCTCCACTACTTAGCTGGCAATCTTGGCTCAAGATACTTAACCTTTTTGAGCCTCATTTCATCTTCTGTAAAGGGGGATAAATCTTGTTTCAGTTTCATCTACTCCAAGGGGAGATATATATGAAAGTGTCTACTGTAGTGTTTGGC